CCCGCCCCAGGCCTTCCCCACACTATCGTCTGTGTCCGTGGGTTATGCATATAAGTTCTTAGGTTAGTCTCTACCCCCCTTCCCTCCGAGATCCCTCAGTCTGGTCCAAGCCTCTGTGGCTCTGGGTCTATCCTGTTCATCAGTTTATTGTGTTCTTGACTCTCCACGTGGCCCCGGCCGGACCACCCTCCCTGTCCCTCTCCACCCCTGTCCTTGGCTGCGCGTCAGGGGCAGGCGCTGAAAATGCAGGAAGACGTGATGTGCAGACAGGGGAGGTTCCGGCTGAGTCAGCTGCCCTGAGTGTCCCAGAGCAGGGTCACGAGCGCCACCAGCCCGCGGCTCCCGGACCTGCCCGGATTCCTGTCTTCTTCACCGCCTGGCTCCCTGCCCTCCCTTTGAATTTTCGAGACACACTCTGCTGTGGCATTCGGCTTAGCTGGAGCCGGTTTCCTCCTACTGAAAATAAGCGTCTTAACCAAAGCTCCACGTGGGAAAGGGCAGGAGGTTTGCACACCCGCTGGCAGGGTCTCCGTCCCGTGGTTCATGCCTGGCTCATGAACTCTGCGAGGACAGACTGTATAGCCCCGAGGACATTAGAGTTAGCAGGAACAGTGCTAGACAGATGCACAGTCATCTCTTCTACAAAGCATAGCAACACAGTTTAAGTCAGTTTTTTTAGGTGCCCTATTTTCACATTTTTCATAAAAAGAACATACTACTTTCCCCTTCAAGAAAAAGGCTTTTCACTTGGAGTTTAAAATGCCACGTGCAGCTAGTAAAGGATTTGGGCTTCAATCGTGTCTAGAGATGAGGTCTGCTTTCGCCGGATGCCGTTAGATTGGCAGGGTCCACGCCGTAGCATCGGCCGTTTCCATGGCAGCCCCAGCGAGCAGCGCTCCTGACTAATGAGCCCCTCCCACCTGAAGAGGAGAGCTTAGGAGCTGTGGCCTTTGGGTGAACATCGCCTTATATGTCAGGAAACCTGAAGAGCGACACTTACCCAGACGCGGCAGAGGGGAAGGTGCCCCCAGCGGGGCTGAATGCCAGCCGGGAGCTGGCAGAACGGAGCGAGACCCCCTGCCCGGTGTCCTCGGGGGCGCTGGACGCTTGCTCTGCTCCTGCAGCTTGTCACTGGCTTCTCCGCCTCCCAGGGGCCTTAAGGAGCGTCACAGGCATCATTTCAAACGGACTTGGGGGACCTCGCAGTGGGCTGACTCCGCTCCGGGACCTCCTGTCGCCCAGAAAGCTAATGCTATTGAAGGTCTCGGTGACTGAGAACCACCTCAGCTCTGGGGAAATAGGAAACAAAGCCTCGAGCCCAAGGGCGCTCTGAATCCCGCACTGACGCGGGCCCGCTTTACTCTTTCACGGCCGAGTCCCAGCCTAGGAAAGTTTACTTTTATTGCTCCCGGTGGGTGAGCAACACATCAGACTCCATAGAAGAAAGCTGGGAAAACTTTTCATAAGAATAACATGGAAATTCCTTCTGTTACCCTCGCAGTGAGGGAAGGGGGCAAAAGAATCACAGAGAAAGCAGCCGGAAAGGCACCAAACGTGGACGTGGCTGCATCTTCCCAGAGACGGGCACGTGGGCTCGTTCAGCTTCGCTCCGAGGCAGGGCTGTGTTTTTGTTATTTTTGTCTATTTTTGTGCCTTTTTCTATTCTGAAACGATAATGAAAGGTACTTTTTTTAAAAAAAAAAACACCTTTTTTTTACTTTATTTTATTGTTGACAGGGTTACAGGCGTCTCCCA